ATTTGAAGACGATTTTTCCTCAGTGAAAATGTCGAGAAAAGTCATCATTTTTTGCAAGCTTTCAATTCTTGTTAATATGTATATATCTTTGCAACTATAAGCCTCAAATTAAAATTTTATTAAAATAAACTCTATCTAAAATAATTAACTAAAAAATGTAATTATATTAGTTTTTTTATTCTACAAAATTTAGTTTTTAAAAAACCCGTTTTTTTCAATTGTTAATAATTCGAAAATTATTGACTTCTTAACATTTTTGTTAAGGAAAAATCGTCTTTAAATTGGCCAAAGAATCCGTCCTTAATCGTTGAAGCGATTATTATCAAACACCCTGTATATATATATATATATATATATATATATATATATATATTGTTACGTCCGCGCGCACTCTTCGGGTTATCTCACAGAAATGTCGCGCGCACTCAAACTCTCACACGCCGGAAATGAATACACTCGCGTAGCAAAGCAATGAACTTTAATATTACAAGCCAATATACCGTAGCGATACAATATAATATAACGTGCATTAATCCTAATGCAATATGTCGGCCAATCAGCTGTCGGAGGATACGTCCTCACCGCACGACAGACAGATCAGAACAACCACGCGACGATTAATATAAACAACTTCTTAGCGACGATAGAAGACCCTGATAGAAGATCCTGACGATCGCAAAATACAGGAACGTATCGTCAAACGGGCGTAACTCGGATATAACAATATATATGTATATATATATATATATATATATATATATATAAGTGTAGATAAAAAGAAAATCTCAATGTAAAATGTTAATATCACCAGCTTTAGCGATACCCGACGCGCACCAACGATGATTGCGTGACAAATTGCTAATGAAGATCTCCTTCGCAGAATCAGTGATCAAACAATTAAAAGACGTTTACGTGAACGTAGTTTAAGATCGCGAGTTCGACATTTTTCTCTTCTAATGGTTGGAAAAAATGTATGATCCATACATTTGGAGAGAAAAATGTCGAACTCGCGATCTTAAACTACGTTCACGTAAATGTCTTCTAATTGTTTGATGAAAAAAACACCTTACTTTTTAAAGGGGCGAAGAGAGGGGGAGAGAATGAAATCAAAATCGAACGAAAGTTTCTTAAAGTAGACCCTTCACCCTTTAAAACAAAAAAAATTTTCAAATACGATAATTTTTCACGGAGATACGCTTATTTGAATTTCCGCAAAATTTTAATAGTATTTCTTTAAATAACTGTTTCTCATTTCCCCCTTTTTTTAAGAATTATAATTTGTTCCATCATTTTTCAATTTAATAATTTGACAGATAGAATTTATTTTTTTTATTGAAAGGTGTGTTTCGTGAATTCTCTCGCGTGTAAAGTCCCGGGTATAATTTTGAATCTCCACGGGCGACGCGAGCCGAAGCACAGGCTTCTAGTTTTTATTTAATGCAGCAGTACGGGCGCGATGGTATGAGAGTTTGATTGAAATAAACTGTAATGACTTGATCCTCGTATAATATTGATTTATTAAAATTATGCGCGACTATGTATTGCGATGCGCTTCTCGAGACATGAAGATTAGCAAGTGACCTGTGCGAATTTATTTCAGGCCGCACAGGCAAGCCTTCGTTGTCGATCCGGAAAAGCCCGATACATCCCGGAATCCCGCGATTGATATTTTGACCGTTCATGTTCATGTGATTGACCGTTTCTTCGTTCACGTGATAAGACCAAAACAAAGTGAGACAATGATGCTTATATATATATATATATATATATATAAAAGAAAACCGTGTCTCTTGTCTCGACCAGCACATCCCAACAGATACATGTCCAAACATCGTGCAAATTCGTGATATATAATAACATGGAATAATAATTCTAAACACCGGCCGCCTTGGAAGATGTCGTCTTACAATAATAATAAATAAACTCGGGGTCACATACATGCGGCAGGCATACAATATGATTGATACGCTTCGTCAAATAACAGTACAATGAATATGTATATTAAATAATATGCTTTGTAGCGCAAAGAAAATAATAATATATAATGAGTAAAGTGTAGTATAAATGATAAGAGTCGTCCTCAATTCAAATATCTAAAGCGATTTAAATAATTTTGTCATTAACGCTATTTGATTATTCAGCGCGGTCAAACTTTATAACTAATTGCAAAAGAAACGTCCTGTTTTTTTGTTTTTTTTTTTTTGCACTTATATAGCACGTTCATGTTATAAATGTAGTACAATTGATTGTCAAGCAACAAAAAACAATATATATGTTTTTACAAATGCTAATCTTCTAGAGGCAAAATTGATAATTTTGAAAGAGGCCTGACAAATGATCCCTTGGCCGTGATTATTGTGGCTGTACGGGCGATGCCATCAGTTCCAGGATGAATTTCCTTTACGCGGCCAAGCGCCCACTGCAGAGGCGGAAGGCCCGGTTGCATGACTAGCACCATCTTGCCAACGCCCATCTGCTCTCCCTTGTTGCTAGTCCATTTCTACCGCTGCTGCAATTGATTTAAGTATTCGCGGCTCCAACGACTCCAAAAATGCTGGCGGAGCTGCTCGACTCTCTGCAATCGTATCAATCGACCTTCCTTAATAATTAAATCAGTAAGGTCGTGGCATGGAAAATCACTCAATACCTCGCCAACCAGAAAATGCCCCGGCGTAAGATAGGCTAAATCATTAGGATCAGAACTCAGCGGCGTCAACGGACGCGAATTTAATACAGCCTCTATTTCGCACAACGTTGTCTGCAACTCCTCGAAAGTCAGGTGTGAGTCGCCCGCAACACGCTGTAGGTGATATTTCGCAGATTTTACCGCGGACTCTCAGAGCCCGCCAAAGTGCGGCGCTCCAGGTGGAATAAAACGCCATGATATTCTGGAGTCGCGACAAAACTGTTCTATTTTTTCTTTGGTCGATGACGCGCCACGAAACGCGTACAACTGTTCCAATTGGCGCGAGGCCCCCTTAAAATTAGTTCCATTATCGGAAAATATAGAAGTCGGGTACCCCCGCCGAGAAATGAAACGCTTTAAGGCCGCTAGAAAAGCGTCCGTCGTCAAGTCACTGACTACTTCAATGTGTACTGCTTTTATAGCGAAGCACACAAATATACAAACATAAGCCTTACTATTTCGAGCATTTCGCCGCTTGCCTTCTCTTATAATGAGAGGCCCCGCGTAATCGATGCCGCAATTAGAGAACGGCCGCGAAGGTGTCACACGGGGCGCAGGTAACACCCCCATTTTCGCTTCCGATATCGCCGGCCTGCATCTAAAACAAACGAGGCACTGTCTAATATAAATAGTAACCTTTCGTGTGGTCGAGCGAACCGAGAGAGGCCAAAATTTTTGTCGCACCGCAGCCATAGTGCCCTGTAATCCAGCGTGCAAATTGCGTATATGTTCTTTCTTTATTACGAGCTGAGTGAGCCGATGATTCTTTGGGAGCAAAATTGGGTGGCGGGCATCGTACCTTAATTGTGATTTTTCGAGCCTCCCACCGACGCGAATCAGACCCTGTTTATCCAAGAACGGCGATAATGATTTTAATGAGCTAGCGGAAGTGAGAGCGTTTCCCTTCTTTAATTGCTCGAACTCGTTTGAAAAAACTTCCCCTTGCACCAGCTTGCAAATGTTTTCCAATGCGGCCGAGATTTCCACGTGCGAGACGTGAACGCCCACGTCTCCCTCGGATCGCAGACGCGGTCCAATAAATCGCCTGCAATATGCAACAATTCGGCATAATTTATCTAGACTCGAACATCTAGCTATAAGCTCCGAAAAGGGGCTTAGTGCCACCACGCCAGCGACAGCAGCAACTATCCGCCGCCTCTCCGGCATCTCGGACTCCGGGACATATTCGCCAACGCTTGGCCACGACTCCTCGCTGCTCTTTAACAACGCGGGACCTCGCCACCATAGCGCGGCATTCCCGATGTCATGCGGGTGGACGCCCCGAGATAGCAAATCCGCAGGATTTTCGGTTGTCGGCACGTGCCGCCAATCCAAACCGGAAGTTAACCGCTGTATTTCTCCGACGCGATTTGACACAAAAACCGACCATTTTCTCGAGCACGACGAAATCCATCTCAGCGCGATCGTGGAATCCGACCACAAAGTATACCGCACGTCCTTTATGTCAATAGATGAACGCACTTTGTCCAACAATTGTGCCAGCAATAATGCCGCGCAAAGCTCGAGTCGCGGAATCGAAATCGCTCTGAGTGGGGCTATTCTTGTTTTAGAGCACAACAGATCAATCTGTACTTCGTTCCCATGTATTTGTCTTCGAATATACAAACACGCGCCATACGCCCGCTGGCTGGCGTCACAAAACCCGTGTATCTGAACGCGAGCCCCCTCTTGATTTCTCCCTATAAACCTCGGGACGCTTAAATCATTTAATTCTCTTAATTGTCTCTTAAACGCGGACCACCTTGCATGCATATCCAGTGGAATCGATTCATCCCACTGTATTTTTAATTGCCAAATCTCCTGTAACAGCATTTTTGGTATGATAATAACCGGACCGATTAATCCCAACGGGTCAAATAATCTTGATATCTCCGACAATATTACGCGCTTCGTTATCTTGTGTGAGTCAGTCGGCAATTCAATCGCGAACCGAAATACATCCATCGACGGATTCCAAAGAATTCCGAGGATGCGCGACGTCGCGTCTCTATCAATTTGAACCTCGGCGTTATGTTTATCATACATATCATTTATCAATACTGATTCGTTTGAATGCCACTTGCTCAGTTGAAATCCGCCGCGGTTCAGAATCTTTACGATCTGGTTTTTCAACGCTAATGCTTCCTCGATTGTGTCCGCTCCCGTTAGCAGGTCATCAACGTAAAAATCGCGTTTTACTCGCCGGGATCCCGCGGGAAATTCCTCCGCGTACATCTCGGCCAAAAATTGCAGCGCTCTAGTAGCTAAATATGACGCGGTCGCTGTACCGTATGTCAACGTTATTAATTCGTATGTTTGCACGCTCGCGGTGGCCTCATCTCGCCACAGAACACGCTGCAGTCGCGTCTGCTGCGGATCGACCAATATCTGCCGGTACATCTTGGCGATGTCTGCGGAGAATACGAATCGAAAAATTCGAAACCTCGATACAATGGAAAATAAATCCTGCTGCACCGTCGGCCCGATCATAAGAGCGTCGTTCAAAGAAACCCCTGTCGAACTTTTGCATGAAGCATCGAAAACCACCCTGATTTTAGTCGTTTCATTTGACGTCTTTAATATACAATGATGCGGCAAATAGTACGTCGGCAATCCCTTGTCTTTGTCATTTTCCTCCCTTACTAATTTCATATGCCCAAGGGCCAAGTACTCGCGCATAAATGCCGCGTATTGCGATTTTAATCCCGGATCGCGATTCAGCCGTCTTTCCAGCCCGCAAAAACGCCGCATTGCTATGTCTCGCGTTTCCCCGAGATTCTCTAATTTCTGTTTAATAATCGGAAGCGTGACTATTATTCGACCCTCTTTATTTCTCTTAGTATTATCGAGGAAGTGTCTCTCGCAAAAACGCTCCGCGCTAGTGTACGAATCCGACGGCCGAAAATCTTCCTCGATCTGCCAGAATTTGGCTAATTGATTTTGCAAGGCGGCATCCGCCACCGAAATGTGAAACGCTCTCACTTCGCGCCCGCGGGCGTCGCGAGCGGTGACCTCCACGGCCGGCGACAATCCATCCGAAAAGCGTTTTTTGTAGCGTGGGATGCGATCGGGAACACTTCAATCTCCCCACACAAAGCAGCTGCCAAAATATATCGGCGCCTATCAATATATCGATATCGGAGCATTTATGAAATTCCGGATCAGCTAATTTAATCCCATTAGGTATTTGTATCCTTTCTCGATTAATAGGTGCCGTAGGTATCCGATCGGTTATGCGGTTCGTCAAAACGCACTCCAAACTTGCGCAGAAGCCGCTCAAACGAGAATGTAATTTTACTTTCACGATCTCGTTGGCGTCGCTTGTCATGCCATTTATTCCGGTGATTCTAACACTGCCCGTCGATGGCCTTAAGTTTAATCTCTCGACACAATCTTGCGTTATAAAATTCGCTTGCGAGCCGCTGTCCAGCAAAACTCGACATGATTGTCTCGTTCCAGTAGCATCATTATATACACAATTGCCGTTGAAAGCAATACATGCGCGTTCCACGCGGAGGACACCTGAGTCATAACTATTTTTTCTTTTATCGTCTCCGGAGACGGCTCACCTTCGGCCTTTCCCTTTTCAGTAATGTCGCCCGAATCCGCCTGAAGATGAAGCATCGAATTATGTTTGGCTCCGCATGTTTTACACGCGCCCATTTTACATTTTGCGGCATAATGATTGCCCCCGCGAAGACAATTTGCGCATAGCTTGCGCTTCCGTATTTCCGCGATTCGTCGAGCGACCGGCAGTTTAATAAACTCACGACAATAATAAATGAGATGTTTTCCCTGGCAATATCCACACAACAAAGAGGCAGTCGCGACGTGAGCTGCCAAACGCTTTCCGGCGGGCTGAGTTTGTCCGCGATTCAACGATTCTAGCAAATTGCATCTGTGCTCCAAAAATTCTGAGAGCTGCTTGAACGCGGGTAACTCTGTCCCGGTCAACGACACCTGCCACTCTCTAGCAGTAATCGGATCGAATTTAGACGAAACTAAGTATTGATAAGCAGCGTGTCTCAATGCTCCGTGGGGCAATGCAGTGCCTTCAATGCTTGTATGTGTTTCGCGGCATTGTCCGCCACCCTACGCAGCTCAACAGCATTTTCTTTCGCGATATTCGGCAGCTCGAACAGGGCGCGTAGATGCGTATGCACTATAGCGCGTTTGTTATCATATCTCTGTTTTAATAAATCCCAAGCTACTTGATAATTTGAATCAGTCAATTCCAGCGATTGAATTATAATTGCTGCCTCGCCTGTCATAGATGCTCTCAAATATTGAAATTTTTGGAAGCCGCTCAAGGACGGATTATCATTTATTATGGAGTTAAACATTTCATAAAAAGGAAACCAATCCTCGTATTTTCCCGCGAATTTTGGTAGATATAATTTCGGTAATCGCACTCCGCATGCACACACACACACACACACACACACACAGAGGTGCCCGACTCGCCGACGGATACCGGGGTAGACACTGCGGAGCGGCTATTGGAAGGCACGCGATTATATCCCGCAATCTTGCAGCGCAACGCTGCCGTCAATCCGAAAAACATTTCTTCAAACGCCTCGCGATCTCCTCCCTCACCGTCGCAGATTGCCTCTATCTCAGATTGCCAGTCATACTCCTTCCAATAGCTAGCTAATTTATCTTTTCTTTCCTCTAAATTTGCTACCGTTTCCGGCGTCAATTGAGTCACCGAATCCGCGTATGTTTTTATTCGGGTACATGCAGCCTTTATCGACGTACGCTTTCTCTTTAGTGCTAAGATCTGATCCGAATGAGCCATAATCCACGCAATATATCGCTATCGTGCACAATATATATTGCCACAATAACAGTTCACCCGAAATGCGAAACGGAAATGAACACCCTGATTGGCAAGTGAGTAATTCTCCTACCTTGACCGTCGATTTGATCGCTCAGCTAATGCCTCATTGACCGCCTTTGGTTGTTCGTCCGCCAATTTCTCTGCATCATGGATCGTCACACGGGCTCCTCCGGGTTGGCAGCTCCTTATCTCATTTATTTCAACGGCCACTGATTGTATGCTTCAGGGATGTCCTCTCGATGGACGATAATCATTGCTCCTTGACCCTCTCGATGCAACTCCAAAGCGGCTCGTACCGTTAAATATTGTTGCGGATCTGACAAATTTCAGTTTGTCGCAAAGAATCCGGCTCGAAGGACCAAAATGTTTCGTGAATTCTCTCACGTGTAAAGTCCCGGGTATAATTTTGAATCTCCACGGGCGACGCGAGCTGAAGCACAGGCTTCTAGTTTTTATTTAATGCAGCAGTACGGGCGCGATGGTATGAGAGAGTTTGATTGAAATAAACTGTAATGACTTGATCCTCGTATAATATTGATTTATTAAAATTATGCGCGACTATGTATTGCGATGCGCTTCTCGAGACATGAAGATTAGCAAGTGACCTGTGCGAATTTATTTCAGGCCGCACAGGCAAGCCTTCGTTGTCGATCCGAAAAAGCCCGATACATCCCGGAATCCCGCGATTGATATTTTGACCGTTCATGTTCATGTGATTGACCGTTTCTTCGTTCACGTGATAAGACCAAAACAAAGTGAGACAATGATGCTTATATATATATATATATATATATATAAAAGAAAACCGTGTCTCTTGTCTCGACCAGCACATCCCAACAGATACATGTCCAAACATCGTGCAAATTCGTGATATATAATAACATGGAATAATAATTCTAAACAAGGTGACTAATATATATTTTTTTGCAGGTTGAATCTATATATGAAGTTATTTATCGTGTTGTTTATCATTACGGGTATAAATTGGTTTCTGTATACGATTTTAAGGTTCTTTGCGGTACAATTATATAATATTAGTTATTACATTGATATTGTTAGTGCTTTGTTAAATGTAGTAGAGAATTTCTTCGTCTTTATCATATTTGTATGGAGAAAGAAAATCAAGTTGATGTTACTGAAACGATTCGGATTCAAGACGAATGCATCGGCTTGAATACCACTTTTGAGGAATCCATGCAGGAAAAGTCAATCTTTTGCGGAAAAGAAAAATATCACACGAAAAATTTGTTTAATGGGATTGAATTCAAATGTTGTCAGTGTGTAAAGAAAAGAGTTTTATCACATATCAAAAATCAACGATTAATCACAATTTAATATTATCTTAAAATTACAATTGACAATGTTATATTTTACATGATGTTTAGGTTTCTTTAAAAGATTTAATTTAAAATTTCAAAGGAAAAATTTGTTTTATCGATACATATAATTTAGTCAACTTTATGGTTAAATTTTGTAAACGTTTTTCTTCAAATAATAATTTTGTATGAAAGCTATACAATATATTGTGCTATATTATTAAATATAAAAAAGATTTCTGATTCAAATATAAAAATATATTATATATTTATAAATATATGTATGTGTATATAAAGGCAAATTAAAATTTGTTTTGAATTGGTGCCTATATGGTCCATACAAATAAATTATGAATATTTTCAAACGCGACTGTGTTTAATGTAATTATTGTTTAAAAATGGTATTTTTTGTAATATGTATTCAATGTAGCTAAGCTATGACAAAAGCGTGTTTATACATACATATATATATATATATATATATATATATATTATATACACATACTCACATTCGATGCTAAGAATATTTTTTATAATTATATATATAAAGAACTAAGAAGTCACCAGTCGATAATTAAAAATGGTAATAATTTCGTCAACTATATCTGGCTATAAATACTATTTATTAAACTTTACGACGTTTCGGCCATGGGTTTCGGCCCTTATCAATTATTACCATTTTTAATTATCGACTGGTGACTTCTTAGTTCTTTATATATATAATTATAAAAAATATTCTTAGCATCGAATGTGAGTATGTGTATATAATATATATATATATATATATATATATATATATGTATGTATAAACACGCTTTTGTCATAGCTTAGCTACATTGAATACATATTACAAAAAATACCAGTGCTATAAACAATTGATATATAATTAAATTAATAATATTACAGATTAATACAAATTAGGTGCTTAAATATTGATATACCAACCTACTTAATACCGCATTATTGTAATAACACTGCTTGTTTGATCTTAGGTCATGACGTGATGTACTGTCATGATAATGTGTTACGAACTAACTATATTAATATGTCAATACGGAACTATTTATATACTAGATCAGACTAAACGACCTTTATTAATTTTTCGTAGACATTGTTTAGATTGTCAGTATCTTTTTGTAAGTTAATATTATTGTCAAATTTCTTGATGAAAAACATCTCCGCTATTTCTCGTTTTCTAACATATTTTTCATGATGTAAAATTTCGGGCGAAGACCAATTGAAATCATGTCGCATATCAATTTTATGATTAGTAATGACCGAAAAATTACTACTGTGTACTTTGATGTTATTAAAATGTTCCTTTACACGTGTGCCTAATTGTCGTTTAGTTTGACCTATATATGATGCAGGACAATTTTCGCAATTAATTCTATACACTACTTCTGTTTTTTCTTTTAAAGGTATAGGGTCTTTTACACGTTTAATTAAAGAAGTTAATTTCTTCGGTATACTGTAAACGCTTTGCATACCCGTAGTTTGTAATAATCTCGTCAAATCATCGCTGAGTTCTTTGACATAAGGTAATTTTATAACATGATCAAATTTCGCACTGCCTAAATTATTGTTATTATTAATATAATCATCGTTGTTTCGTGTACTAAGTAATTTTAATCTGTTTTTTACAAACTTATTGACAATGTCCGAAGGAAAACCATTGTTCATCAATATCGTTTTTACTTTGAGGATGTTCGCTTGATGAAAACATTCATTAGATAGCATCACCGCATGATCAACTAAACTGAAAATAGTATTCTTTTTATATTTAAACGGATGATTGGAATAATAATTAATATATCTGCCTGAACTTGTGGGCTTCAAAAACCAATTAGTTAATAAATTGCTATTTTTCCTAATTACTGTAGTGTTTAAGAAATTAATCATGTTATTATTTTCAATCTCATGCGTGAACTTTAATCTTGGATGATAATTATTAAAAGTTGACAAAATTTCATCAACACACCCCTGAGGGATAATTGTGAAAATGTCATCCACGTATCTAAAAAACGGCATAGTTTCGAAACCCAACATTTCCAGACACTCAGTCTCTAGATCATCCATCACCATATCAGCTAATATTGGTGAAAGCGGAGACCCCATAGGACTACCATAAATTTGTTCATAATATTGACCGTTAAAAACAAAACTAGTCGAATCCATGATAAACTCGATCACATATAAAAATTGAGAGAGGTTGAAAGTCGTATTGATCATGATGTCATTCCATCTCTTTTCTACTCCCTTGATTACTAATTCCTTAGGGATATTCGTAAACAAGGAAGCAACGTCTAACGATATATTTGCTATCGTCTTATGTAAGTATTTAAGGTTGACATTGATATCTTTTATTTCAAGTCTCAATAATCTAAGTTTGTAATGTTTAGTATTACGCTCGAACGTTCGACGCATATTGACGCTGTACCAACTAATATGTGATCGAGTTTATCATGGATTCGACTAGTTTTGTTTTTAACGGTCAATATTATGAACAAATTTATGGTAGTCCTATGGGGTCTCCGCTTTCACCAATATTAGCTGATATGGTGATGGATGATCTAGAGACTGAGTGTCTGGAAATGTTGGGTTTCGAAACTATGCCGTTTTTTAGATACGTGGATGACATTTTCACAATTATCTCTCAGGGGTGTGTTGATGAAATTTTGTCAACTTTTAATAATTATCATCCAAGATTAAAGTTCACGCATGAGATTGAAAATAATAACATGATTAATTTCTTAAACACTACAGTAATTAGGAAAAATGGCAATTTATTAACTAATTGGTTTTTGAAGCCCACAAGTTCAGGCAGATATATTAATTATTATTCCAATCATCCGTTTAAATATAAAAAGAATACTATTTTCAGTTTAGTTGATCATGCGGTGATGCTATCTAATGAATGTTTTCATCAAGCGAACATCCTCAAAGTAAAAACGATATTGATGAACAATGGTTTTCCTTCGGACATTGTCAATAAGTTTGTAAAAAACAGATTAAAATTACTTAGTACACGAAACAACGATGATTATATTAATAATAACAATAATTTAGGCAGTGCGAAATTTGATCATGTTATAAAATTACCTTATGTCAAAGAACTCAGCGATGATTTGACGAGATTATTACAAACTACGGGTATGCAAAGCGTTTACAGTATACCGAAGAAATTAACTTCTTTAATTAAACGTGTAAAAGACCCTATACCTTTAAAAGAAAAAACAGAAGTAGTGTATAGAATTAATTGCGAAAATTGTCCTGCATCATATATAGGTCAAACTAAACGACAATTAGGCACACGTGTAAAGGAACATTTTAATAACATCAAAGTACACAGTAGTAATTTTTCGGTCATTACTAATCATAAAATTGATATGCGACATGATTTCAATTGGTCTTCGCCCGAAATTTTACATCATGAAAAATATGTTAGAAAACGAGAAATAGCGGAGATGTTTTTCATCAAGAAATTTGACAATAATATTAACTTACAAAAAGATACTGACAATCTAAACAATGTCTACGAAAAATTAATAAAGGTCGTTTAGTCTGATCTAGTATATAAATAGTTCCGTATTGACATATTAATATAGTTAGTTCGTAACACATTATCATGACAGTACATCA